TTTAATTTTTTTTAACCCCTATCCCTTTAAGGTTTAGGGTTTAGGGTTTAGGGTTTAGGGTAAAATCCAAAACAAGAATAACAATAGTAACACAAGACTACTATTCGTAGTAGTACTTCCTGATGCTAAACGATCATAATCATCATTCACAGGTGATCGGAGCCACAGGAAAGCCCCGATTCTCAAAGCTTCCGGCCAGACCCCCGGGAAAGATTCAACAAAAATCGAGAACGGCAAGCGAGGTCTGGACCGACACAGAGGTCCAGGTGTTCGAAATCGTGGCAGGGCACACCGTCAGGGTTTCTAGGGTTTAGGGTTCAGGGTTTGGCCCCCTCCCGAGACCAGCTTTGGAAAGCGGACATTTCCAGAAGTCAAGTCCATCCTCTCCTGCATGAGCACATTCCGCTTCACCCTACCAGGCACAATGCCGTTGAACGACAATCTCAGATTGTCCCCGTCCTTGTGTGGGGCAACCTGACAACGCATCCCCCGCCACGAAAGAAGTAGCCTCCGACAAGCTCGCCGGAAACATCCCTCAGGTAATACCCGCGATCCTGAACCCGATAGGGCTCAGGCGGCCAAAAGATTTTGGACGAAACTACCCTAAACCCTAAACCCTAAACCCTAAACCCTAAACCCTAAACCAAAGTAGACTCCTCGGAGCAGAGCTCTTCGCCTCTTGCGCAGCAGAGGTCTTCGTGGAAGACTTGGTTGGGCTTTGTGGCAGCCGTGCTGCAAACACCGCTCCACCCGGTGTGTAGGGCCCCAACATGGCAGGGATAGCCCATATAATCCCCCTTATAATGAAGCCCTATAGGGATATCCCTATAAAATGCTTATGTGTGAGCCACTCCGTCCCGGGGAAAGGCTCGATAGGGGTGGAGCCGTGTAGCGGCAAAGAACTCTAGGGTTTAGGGTTTAGGGTTGAGGGTTTAGGGTAACCCCCGCAGCGCATGCCCCATCAAAGAATTTACCTCAGCTCATGTTTAAGCATCCTTCTGCAAATGAGGGTTCAAGGTTTGAAGCTTTTTGGGGTGAGGCCTGGGGTTTAGGGTTTAGGATTTACGGTTTGTGGGGAAGTTTTAGGATTTCGGATTTAGGGTTTAAGATTTCAGGTTTGGGGTTCAACATTTAAAATTTACAGCATGTTCCTTGATTGGGAGAGTGTTGGGAACGCCGAAGTCCTGAACTTCTGGTTGAGAAAGCGAAACTCTGAAGGAGGCTCGGTTAGTTGGAGGATCAAGAGACTTGGTACATCATTTTCGAAGGCTTGCAAGGGCTTCTGTAAGGATACTATCATGGTTCTACAGGGTTTTCGGGTTTAGGGTACCCGGTGAGCCGAAAACCTTAAAAGATTTAAAACTCCAAAAAGCCCCAAAATCCTAAACCCTAAAGCCAAACCCTCAACCCTACAGCACCCTTAAAGCATCCCGTACCCTTAAAGAATCCCCTTAGAACCCTATAGCATGCTTAAAGTATCCCTTTAGAACCCTGTAGTGCCCATGAAGTATCCCTTACGAGCCCGCTTGTATCCTGAAACCTCGACCTGAAGTTGCTGGGCACTTCAAGCATGGGATCTCTAAACCCTAAACCCTGTACCCTCAAACTCTGTACCCTAGACCCTAAACTCTAACCACTTAACCCTAAA